GCTGTGTATCACCCATTCCACCATTACAGGGAGCAGAACTCCCTGTTCTCATGGCTGCACAGGGTGTTAATAGAAATACCTAGTCTATCTGCTACCTCTGTGGCTCAGGTCTCACTTAAGGACATGTAGATGATACTACCAGCACCTCCTCCCACTTTTCATAGTGCTGCGAGGTCTCTCTCTCCTGTCAGGAACTATTTTCTGCCCTACTCAGGTTGATGTGGCTTCGGCCAATGAGGAAAAAAATAGCTAACCTTAAGAATTACAGTAAGAAAGTATTTCCTCCTTCCAGTCTACATCCCTCCATGGAGAAGAGGGGTCAAGCAAATGAATGGAGAGGACTAACTGGAATTGAGAGTAAAGGGATTTTTCAAACATCTGTTGACTGTTCAGTTACATTTCAGGAACAGACATTGTGTACCTATTAAGTACTAGGTGCTGGAAGGAGATCCAAAAGGGTGAGTGTGTTAGTCTGGTCCCAGGATGAAGAGACAAAACACACAGTAATTTGAACAGAGAAAGTTAGATGTAGAGAATTACTACGTATGAGAGAGGATTGGAGTAACGAGGGATTGGCTAGTAAGAAACAAAGAAAACTCTAAAGAATATATACAAAACTCAACACCAAAAAACAAACAACAATCCAATTAAAAAATGGGCAAAAGGCCTGAATAGACACTCCTCCAAAGAGGACATACAGATAGCAAATAGACATATGAAAAGATGTTCAACATTACCAATCATCAGAGAAATGCAAATTAAAACTACAATGTGATATCATCTCACACCTGTCAAAATGGCTAGGTAGCATCCATAAATCAACAAACAGCGAGTGCTGGCAAAGATGTGGAGAAAGGGGAACCCTTTTGCACTCTTGGTGGGAACACAGACTGGTGCAGCCACTGTGGAAAACAGTATGGAGTTACCTCAAAAAATTAAAATGGATCTGTCTTTTGACCTAGCAATCCCACTTCTGGGGATATATCTGAAGGAACCTAAAATACTAATTCAAAAGGACATAAACACCCCTGTATTCATTGCAGTGTATTTACAATCGCCAAGGTATAGAAGCAGCTTGTGTCCATCAGTAGGTAAGTGGATAAAATAACTATGGGACATTTATACAATGGAATACTACTTGGCTGTAAAAAAGAAGAAAATTTTACCCTTTACAACAGTATAGATGGACCTAGAGAGCATTATGCTAAGTGAAATAAGCCAGTCAGAGAAAGACAAATATGATATGATTGTACTCATATGTGGAATCTAATGAACAAACTGAGCTAACATGTAAAATGGGGACAGACTCATAGATGGAGAACAGGATGACAGCTATGGGGGGAGGTTAGGAGGTGGAGGGGTTGAGCAAAAGGGAAAAAGGACACATGGACACGAACAACAGTGTGGGGAATTGCTGGAGGGTGGGGAGTATAAGGGAACTAAATGGTAATGGAAAAATACAATAAAGATTAAATTTTAAAAAAGAATAAAAGATAACTTTATGGAACAGCTACTACCTCTGAGGCTGAGGTGGTACACTAAAGAGGCACAACTATGACTCAGTGAGTGAGACAAGTCAATGTGGTTCTGCACTGATGGAACTTGCTGTAAATCAACCCTCTGTGATTTACTGGAAATTTGCCCTCTAGGGTGTGTGTGTGTGTGTGTGTGTGTGTGTGTGTGTGTGTGTGTGTGTGTATGCATGCCTGCTGTATTCTGCAGCAGTCTGCCTAGGGAGCAAATGGGAACAAGAAAACAAAGCTCATTTCTTTTTCAGTCTCTCTCCAGCACATCCTACTGAAAAAAACTTTAATTGTGCTACTAGAAAAGGGTAAAAATTGTGCTACCAGCAAAGGGAAAAAATATATCCATTTTCACAGAACAGGCAAAGAGGTGAATTTGAAGTTGAGAAGCAAAACATGGACCACCAGCACAGTGCATTGTTCTGCTGCTCAGCTCCCTCGGGCACCCGCCTACACACATTTACACTCCGGCAAAACAGAAAAGCAGCTCTGCATTTCTACGTAACAAAATATACTTTTACTTTTCATTGGTGAAGAAACTCTCATCCTTTCCTCCAAATGAGGAGACCCACAGTGCCAAGGGTCATTGTACAACTGAAACAGTGAAAAGGAACCAAAATTCCAGGCACTGTGCCAGGTCTTTTATATTTTATAACATTTACTTCTTAGAATCTTGTGAGGCAAATGCTATTTTAAATATAAATAGATTGTGGTGCTGCTACCCAGGGACTTAGAGGGAGAGAAGCATGTTGACAGAGATTACTAATACTAGGCAAAGTGATTTAAGTGCTAAAAGGGGGTGATGGTAACCTGCCATGGAATCCTGGAGGAGGACCTACTTATTCTGACCAGGGAGCTGCAGGAAAAAAGGCCCAATGGAAGAGGAATGATATGAAAATTCCCAGAAGCAACTGAGTGGGAGATAGAATAACACAGAGGAGGTAAAATAACATAATGGATGGGTGGGAATGATATGTGTGTTCAAATCAGAACTCTGCCACTAGTTTTGTGACTTTGAGTAAGTTAAACCCTCTAAGCCTCAGGGTTCTCATCTTTAAAATGGGACAATAATTCCAACTTTTTACAACATTGAGGACCACATAAGGTCAGACATGTTAAGTGGCTGGCTTGTGGTCAGCACTCAGTAAATTGTAGCTACTATTATTTTATGGAGGAATGAAGTACATGGCTGTTTGGAAAATGGCAAGTAGAAAGCACTTCAGCTGAAGGGCAGGGTGGCATGGGTTTAGTGGGCCTTATTAGGAGCACATTTTAAAGCTGGATTATTTTCTGATTTGTTCCCAAAGCTGGTACTGGACATGAATATACAACCTGGGAAATAATAGAAAGTCTGAACTCAAATCAATTACATTATACACTTTTTCTATAGGATTGGCCAAAATGTTTGTCAGTGTTTTCTGTAAGATGGCTCTAGTAGTGCTTAGTTGTCTTTAACCTCATTCAAAACAATTTTCTTAGATTGTGTCGTGACAGCTGTCATATCAGTGTGCATTTAAAAGAACTTATCAAAATTGATGAATTTTTTGTGTAGCCATTTTAATATTGAGGATGGAAGAAAATAAGCCATATTTTTGGCATATTATGTTTTAGTATTCCAAGAAAGGTAAAAATGCAACCGAAATGCAAAGAAGATTAGTGTAGTGTATGGAGAAGGTGCTGTGACTTATATAACCATGTGAAAAATGGTTTGTGGAGTTTTGTGCTGGAGATTTCTTGTTGGATGATGCTCCACAGTCAGGTAGTATAGTTGAAGTTGATAGCGATCAAATCGAGACATTAATTGAGAACAATCAACCTTATATTATGCAGGAGATAGCCAACACACTCAAAATATCCAAATCAAGGGTTGAAAATCCTTTGCACGAGCTTCGCTATGTTAACTGCTTTGATATTTGGGTTCTTCATAAGTTAACTGAAAAAAGCCTTCTTGACCACATTTCTGCATGTGATTCTCTACTTAAATGTAATGAAAACATTCCATTTTTAAAACAAATTGTGATGGGCAATGAGAAGTGTATACTTTACAATAATGTGGAATGGAAGAGATCATGGGGCAAGGGAAATGAACAACCACCAACCACACTAAAGGCTGGTCTTCATGCAAAGAAGGTGATGTTGTGTATATGGTGGGATTGGAAGGGAGACCTCTATTATGAGCCCCTTCTTGAAAACCAAATAATTAATTCCAATAAGTACTGCTTCCAATTAGAACAACTGAAAGCAGCACTCGATGAAAAGTGTCTGGAATTAGTCAACAGAAAATGCATAATCTTCCATCAAGATAATGCAAATCTTCATGTTTCTTTGATGACCAGGCAAAAACTGTTAGAACTTGGCTGGGAAGTTCTGAATCATCCACCACATTCACCAGACATCGCACCCTCAGCTTACCATTTATTTCCTCCTTTACAAAATTCTCTTAATGGAAAAAATTTCAATTCCCTGGAAGACTGTAAAAGGCACCTGGAAGAGTTCTTTGCTCAAAAAAATAAAAGTTTTAGGAAGATGGAATTATGAAGTTGCCTGAAAGATGGCAGAAGGTAGTGGAACAAAATGGTGAATATGTTGTTCAACAAAGTTATTGGTGAAAATGAAAAATGTCTCTTTTATTTTTACTTAAAAACTGGATGAATGTTTTGGTCAACTCAATATGATGTGTTACGTAGGAAGAGCATTTGGGAAGGAGTGGAATTACACTGGCGGCTACCGGTTCACATTTCTTAAAAGTACATCTAAAAATATATGAATATAGATATAAGGTAATTTATGCGAGGCGCCACACTTGGGGTCGTCCCTGCCCCCCTCTCTCCATCCGGGTGCTTGCAAGCTGAGCGCCACTGCGCAGCTGCACAACCGTCTCTTATGATACAAGTGTTGCACTTTTACAGTTTGGCGCCTTAGTCTACCACAGCCTCCTCCAGTGCACGGCAGCTCTCGACTTGCGGCGCAGAAGCCGAGCCGGACGCGCTCCGAGCTGACTCCTGCCTCACAATGTCTGAGGAGCACGGTAAGGTGACCTCCCTAAAGCTGCCCTACTAGCTTTTACCTCTTTCCTTCTCTGTCTGGGAAAAGGTTCTGATAGGATTCACACCGAGCCCACCTAGGGGGCTGTTCAGGCCAGGGTGGGAGTGGCCCGGCTGGCCGGTCGTCGTCGGCGAAAGCCTGTGGCTGCTCTCTCCCAGTAGTTAGTGAGCGTGTGGGAACTCAGGTGTGATGTGCAGGGTCTGGCCTTGGGTCCGGGGCATCCCAGGGGCTCGATGTGTCCCGGGAATTCGTGGCGTCCCGGTTTCGTGGCATCCCAGACGCTTGCAGTGCCTTCATGGTTCATGGCGTCCGAGGGGCTCGAGATAATACTGGGGCTCATGGCGTCCCTCGGGTTGGGCTCGCAACATTTATAAGGTTCATGGCGTCCCGGGACCTCGAGGTAATCTGGTGGTTTCGGCATTTACGGGGTTCATGGTATCCCACACGCTCAAGGTGACTCTAGGGTTCGGGGTGCCCCCAGGGCTCATGGTGTGCCAGGAGCTTGAGGTGATCTTGGGGCTCGCGGCATTTTTTTGGAATTTACAGCGTTCCAGTGGCTCGAGGTGGCTCTGGGGCTCGTAGTGTCCCAGGGGTTTGAGGAGCGCAGGCTCCTGGAGCCAGCACATGGAAAGGCGGGAATTTTTTTCGCTGTTCGAGGGCCACCATTCTTTCCAGGACCCCTAGTGGCCGTAAAACAATCGCGGCCATTTCAGCTCTGGAGACTGCGCCGCTGGGTTCCATTTTCTGTGCCTTCCAGACGGCTGTGCCAGAACTGAATCATACCGCGGATCATGTTTTCCTTGGACTTTTTTTCACGGTCTCGTGTGCACAGGCCACAAGCCGCTGCGGAGCACAGCATATTGGGCAGTCTGCACTTTGCAGCCTCAAATTTCAGCAGCACCACAGTGGTGTGGTTTGGGGTGGTTCCCACTGCCTCTCTTCAGAGGCCAGCCTAAGTTATTATTATTTTTTTTTTGCAGTTTATTGAATACTTCAGGCTGAGTTTCTTGGACTGAGTTAATCCTTTATCTTTTCTCTTTCCCTGTTGGAGGAGGTGGGAGTCCAGGAAGGACAAAGACTCTCAGACTATATATATGTAAAAATTGTGAGTTTAAAGAATTGGTAAACTTGCCCTGACCGGCATGGCTCAGTTTGTTGGAACGTGGTCCGCAAAGTGAAAGGTCGCCAGTTGGATTCCCAGTTGGAAGACATGCCTGGGTTTGTCTTCTAACAAACTGTCAGAAATAAAGATGTAGGTGTGGAGAAGTCCCCATGCACAGGGCCTCATGCACGAGTCAGACAATACTGCAAAATGTAGAGACCCCTGTAAAACACGGGAGGCCTTCCGTGGGTGTCCCAGGACCCATACTGTCTACTGCACAGTTAAACATGGGTCGGTCATTTGATAGAAAAAGCTCTAACATCGTCTGTTGCGGGGTGCTTCCTTACCTCCTCTACCCTGCTCTCCCTGAATTTGGACTGCTTTACGGTTTTATAACATGAAAGGGTAAACTGGTTTAAGGCTACAAGTACTGAGTTTACACGCACCGTTTCTGCAGTCTCTTTTATAAACCTCAGCTCCGGCTCGAGTCAGTTTTGAGCCTGCCTGCAGCAAGGGGTGGGTGATGGGACAGTTTGGATGGCATTCTTGACATTTTGTCTGACTATACATTATAATTTTTAAATATACTATAATTTTATAAGGTGTGTTTTCCTTTTAGAAACTTTATTTGATGTGGTATCTAATCTAAACTTTCTCTTTGCTTATTCTTAGATTATACTATTATAACTGTTGGCAGTGACAGTGATGAGAACAATAAAGATCCTGTGATAGTAAAAGAGCCTGCAACAGAGCTTACTGAGAACACAGCTTCCACTGGTGGCATGTTGACCATACAACCACATTTTCAAGGTGGTGGTAGTAATAACCATCAGCCACCACCCCAAATGTCAAATGGTAATTTTGTTAAATTTGTTCCTGTGCAAACTTTGGCTTCTCGTCCTTTTCCAGTAAATGGCTTAAATATTCCCATATCTTCTACATTAATTAGTTATTATGAGAGGGCCAGCTCCATTGTAATACCACAGCATTTACTTAATGCTTAACATTTCCCCTTCATTTAAGCTTTGTCATGTGTCTTTTTCCATTTTAGCTCTATGGGGGAGAATATATTTTTTTGTCTCTGAAAAATTATTTATGCCTGGCAACTGTAAGGTGGCAAAACAAAAGTTGTATTAATGAGAAAAAGGACTTGGGTCAACAGTCCATGGAACAAGTGACATGATTGTCTCTGTAGAATATCTTAAAGAATAAACAAACAAACTCCTGGAACTATTAAGCAATTATAGCAAGACTGTAGGATATAAGGTTAATATGCAAAAGTCAAATTTTTAAACACAACACCATTTACATCGTCACCCCCAAAAAAGTCCATGGAAAGTGGAGTTTTGCTTCCAGAACTGCTGTGGCTACTTGTCCTTCCAATGGTTGCTTCTCAAACCATGTTGATAAAGGAAATGTGAGGCCATTCACCACCTCACTTATATAGAGAGCCAAGAGACAATAACTCCTTTGAGCATTTTCTTTTCAGTAGCTATATGACAATTTGTTCTTTGTTTAGAGAATTGGGTTTCCTACCCTTTTAAGCACTGAAATGTTATTGCTTAGGTTGGAGGTTGGCAATTTTTTGTAAAGAGTCACATAGTCAATATTTTTGGCTAAGGAGCCATAACAGCCCTGTTTTAAATACTCTAATCTGCTATTGAGGCATATAAACAGCCAATATATAATAGACAAGTGTGGCTGTGTTTCAGTAAAACTTTATGAATACTGAAACTTGAATTTCCTATAATTTTTCCTTTTTGTGAAATATTTGCCTTTTATTTTGTTTTTTAATCATTTAAACATGTGAAAAATTTTTTTAGTTTTTGGGCTATACAAAAACATGCAGCAGGATTTGGTCCTCAGGTTGTAGTTTGCCAACCCCTGATCTAACTGAAGCTAAAAACTCATTTGATACCACTTATTACTTGCTCTGGTTTTAAAAATATATGCAGGACCAGCAGATTACTTCCTTAGTGTGTTATAGAACATATGGCTGACTTCAACAGTCTTCCTTAGTGGGAATGAACTAGAGACGAATTTTCAAATGTGGATACCCTTTGATTTATCATTTCTACTTCGAGGAATTTATCCCACAGAACTACTTGCAGGAGTGCAAGACTGTTCAGTATTTTTTGTTTTGTTTTTGTTTTGTTTTGTGTTTTGCAAGAGCAAGGCTTTAGAAGTAACTTGAATATCCCTAAATCAGGGACTGGTTAAATAAATCATGGCCTGTTGGCATGATAGGAAACCAAGAAGCTGTTAGAGTGATTGCAGTGTATCTAAGATAATTAGTTTGGAAAGTCCAATATGTGTTTGGTGAAAAAAGGAGGTTGCAGAGTAATCTTTATAGTCTGATCCCTTTTATTTATCTGACAAAAATTCAGAATAGGAGATTTCAGTAAATGTGTTCTATTACATTTTTATTGTGGTAAATATGCAGACATCATATTTTTCATTTTAAGCATTTGTAAGTATACAAGTTAGTAGCATTAAACAGCTTGGTAGCTCTGGCTGCAATTTTCAGTACCGTATTGATAGTGGTGAAAGCAGGCATCCTTGTCTATCTCCTAATCATGGGGGGAAAGCTTTTAGTCATTCACCATTGAGTATGATGTTAGCTGTGCCTTTTCATAAATACCTTTTATGTGGTTGTGGAATTTTCCCTCCCTAGTTTTCTGAGAATTTTTATAATGAAATGGTGGTACATTTTTACAGATACCTTTTCTACATCAATTGAGATGATCATGTAGCTTTTTCCTCCCTTTGTTCTATTAATGTGATGTGTTATATTGATGGGTTTTCTTATGTTCAGCCACCCTTGCATTCTTGGGATAAATCCCGCTAAGTCATGGTGAATAATCCTTTTAATATGCTATTGCAGTGATTTTCAACTGGTGTGCCACAAGAATTTTTAAAACATGCATACCTGACTAGTCAGGGGTACTGACCTTTTTCCCTGAGATTGTAAAAAAAAAAAAAAAAAGACACCAGCCAACACAATAATAGCTGTCTGGTGTGAATGAATCAAAATTATACCTATTTTTTTGTGAGATTGGCAAAAAATATATTTTTGGGTGTGCTGAAGAATTTTAGTAATTAGTTTATGAGATGAAAAAGGTTGAAAATCATTGTGCCAGTGGATTAAATTGGCTAATATTTTGTTGAGGATTTTTTCATCTATATTTGTAAGGGATATTGGTCTGTAATTTTCATGTAATGTCTTTATCTGGCTTTGGTATCAGGGTAATTCAGGTCTCATAGAATGACTTGAGAAGTGTTTTTTCTTCTTTAGTTTTTTGGGAAGAGTTTGAGAAGAGTTGTTAATTCTTCTTTAAATGTTTGGCAGCATTTACCATTGAAGTCTTTTAGTCTAGTTGTGGTCTAGGGGCTTTTTTTTTTGTTTGCTGTTCTGGCTGGAGGTTTGTGATGACTGAATCAATCGCTTCTTATAGGTGTGTTGAAATTTTCTATTTTCCCTTCATTCAGTTTAGATAATTAATTTTTTAAACTGTAAGAACAGATCATTTTCTCTAAAATTCAGCCAGGAATCCAATTCAATCTGAGTTGGCATTGTGAAAACATATCCATATTAAATTTATTAAGGTAGTAAGTACATTTAGTAACATTTTTGTGTGTTGCCTTTCAGGAGTTAGAGGTTTAACAGGTGTAGGTGACCAACCAGTTTCACAAATGAACCGTCTAGCAAATTTAAGACGTAATCCTGACTCAGCGGGTGTAGAGTTTATCCCATTGAACAAAAAAGGACGATCATCTGCTTCAATGGAGGATAATATGGTTTGTATATTAAAGTAAAAATCATTGTTTTTTTATTCTGCTTTATTTCTTTTTTTAAGAAAGGTTTTAATTTCATACAGTGAAATGCACAGATCTTAAGTGTACAGTTCAGTGAGTTTTGACAAATATGTATACCCACTCCCATCTATATAAAGAATATTTTCATCATCCCAGAAAGTTCCTTATGCCTCTTCCCAGTGAGTCCCCATTCTCCTGAACTTTGGAAAACTACCACTCTAATGTTTTATTCCATCTTAGATTAGTTTTGCCTGTTCTAGAACTCTATATAAATAGGATCATACAGTGTACACTCTTTTGTGTCACAGTCTCTCTTCCTTAGAATAATGTTTCGGAGATTCATCTGGTTGTAGCAATATTTCATGTCCTTTTATTGCTGAGTAATATTATATTGAGGTATATACATGATTTGTTTATCCATTCTCCTTTTGATGGACATTTTGGATTGTTTCCAGTTTCTGGCTATTATGAGTAAAGTGGCTATGAAATTATTATGGAACTCTCTTTGTGAACATATGTTTACATTGAATTTGAGTGAATACTTAGTAGTGGAAATACTGGATCATGGAGTAGGTAAAAGTTTATAAGAAACTGCCAGTTTTCTGAAGTGGTTGTACAGTTTTACATTTCCATCATATCCTGCTGTGCTTCTTCATATCTGAAGTTGAATAAAATGGATTATTCAACTATATATAATTTAGATTAACAAAACATGCGTTTATTTACTTATATAAGATTGAGGATAGTAATACCACCTAAATAGTATAGGCAGTTCTCTTAACTTCTGTCAGCTCCAATATTTTTGTCTTTGGGAATCATGTTGCTTGCCTACCAGGAGTCATGGTTTCTGACACAATTATGTGAAATCACTTTGAAAAGAATAAAGCACTATAGAAGGGTAAGATGGCAATATTGTTTTTATAATTAATAATCTATATCATAATTCCATATAATTTTTTGGTAATAAGTTTGTAATACAGGGCTAATTCAGATAATGTTTAAAACAAAGAGCCCTGGCTGGTGTGGCTCAGTGGATTGAGTGCGGGCCTGCGAATCAAAGCGTTGCTGGTTCAATTCCCAGTCAGGGCATATGCCTGAGTTTCAGGCCAGGTCCCAAGTTGGGGGCACCAAGAGGCAACCACACATTGATGTTTCTTTCTCTCTCTTTCTCTCTCCCTTTCTCTAGAAATAAATAAATGAAATCTTAAAAAAAATAAAACAAAGATACTGGTAGCTACTTGATATGTGTTATGTTAAAATTAGTCACATAATTTGCTATTCATCCTTAGAACAAAGAGTTATGATGATTAAATGTAATGATCATTGCTGTCTATCTGCTTATTTATGCCCTGTTTTATTCCCAAAAAGCATTTGAGGTATTTTAGAGGTTAATTTATTAAGAAAAATGGGTGCTTAAGTGTTTCCTGTTTTGTCCACAAAGTGTCACTGTTGGATTATTTGAAAACCAAAAGCCATATATTTTGTTCTTTGTTTGTAGTTAGAAATATTTGCTTTTAAAGCAGTTTAAGTGCCAGATTACTGGAAGACTCTTCTGCCTATTCGGAAGTACATAAGGGGTTAAGCTTGATGGAAAAAGATGCTTTAAGTGTACTTGTGTTAATGAAGAATCAGTTTTGCAAGTATATCTTTTCTTGTAATTATAAATATTTATTTACAATGGACAGAGGTCCTTAAGGCCTTTGGAGCTTCTTGAAAGTGAAATTCAAGCCTTGGAATTTTCTTTCACCTCTTTCTTTCATATTTTCTTTTGGTTTATTAATAAATCTCTAGGTAAGAACATGAATACTTGATTGTGAAGAAGGCAGAAGTGTCATTAATGAATATATATCAGACTGAATATTTACATAATATTAATTGCTAATTGCCAAATATATTCATAATTAACATCATAAAGAAAATGATTTAAATTCCTTTTCAGTCTTCATATACTATGTAGTTACTCTGAAGTCGTGAGCTTGAGAAATATTTCTCTCTCATGAATTTGTATGCCTCCTTAACAATGAGCACCTAACAAAGACAAAGAACACTTAAGCATTTTATTTTCTTCTTTTTCTTGTCTAATAGAAAATTCAAAGCAGTTTTTCCACCAATTTCAATATCTTATTTTTGAAATAATTTTAGATTTACTGAAGAGTTGCGAAAATATTACAGAGATCTTGTGTATACACTTCACACAATTTCCCTTAATGTTAACTTACCTTTATAACTTAAAATTATAATAATTGTATAACCACAGTGCAGTTTCCAAAACCAGAATATTAACATTGGCACAGCACTACTAGCTAAACTGCAATCCTTGTTTGAATTTTACCATTGCCCCTCCACCATGTCCTTTTTCTGTTCAGCATCCATTCCAGTATCCCACATTGAATTTAGTGTGTCTCCCTAGTTTCTTCCTGTCAGTTACAGTTCCTCATTCTTTCCTTGTCTTTCATAACCTTGACAATTTTGATGAGTGTATGGATCAGTTATTTTGCAAAGTATCTCTCAGTTTTGGTATGTCTGAGATTTTCTCTTGAATGGATTGAGATTATACATTTTTGGCAAGAATGCCACACAAACGATATCGTCTCCTCATTGAATCATTATTAAGAGTACACGATGGCTATTTATCTTTTTACTGGTGATGTTAACCTCAATCACTTGGTTAATTTGGTATCTTCTGGATTTTTTTCAGTATAAAGTTACTATTTCCACCTTTTAAAAATTTTCTTGATTTTAGGGAAAGAGAGAGAGAGACAGAGACAGAGACAGAGACATGGATTTGTTGTTCCACTCATTTGCGCATCCATTGGTTGAATCTTGTATGTGCCCTGACCAGAGATCCAACCTGCAACTTTGTCATCTTGGGATGATGCTCTAACTAACTGAGCTACCTGGCCAAGGCCACTATTTCCACCTTTTTAATTAATAAATATCTTGGGTGGGAGAGTACTTTGAGACTATGCTAATATCCCATTTCTCTTCAACTTTTTGCCCAGTGAGTTGAGTTAGCTCATGGATTTTATTTGCAGCATTCACTACCGTGGTGCTTGCTTAATGGTGACTCTCTGTTTCCCTCATTTCTTTGTATTTTTTAATTAGAATTAATTTGTAAGGAATGGTCTTTCTCTTTCTTTCACGTCAGTATGGACTCATGGCATTTACTGTATTTTATGAATAATTGTCTAATATTATCATTATTTTATTGGTTGAATTTTCTAGCTTTAGCTATTGGGAGTTCCTTCCAGTTGACTTCTGTGGCCTTTTGACATGTCCCTACTTTTTTTGAGCATTTCCTTATTTTCTGACATCACCAGATGTCAAGGCTCATTTATACTTTCCCTGTCCTAGCCTTGGAATTCACCTCTCTCCATGGAGCCCTGGTTCCTTTTATTCGAGATTGGTATTTAGAAATCAAGATCTAGACACTAGATGTCTTCATTACTACCCGTGTCATTTATTGTAGGCCCTCTCAATGGACAGAGTTAAGAAATAAATATATGTATTCTAATTCATGCATGCACATAAGTTTATTTCTATAGCAGTCTTTACATATGTTATAAATTATGTGTTCATACTGATATTTGGTAGCTTTTCTTAAACCTAGGTTCTTATATATAAGCTTCTTTCTTTACCTCCTTGCTAGTCAGCTCTTAATCTTTTTCATTTTCATATGAATGTGGGTTTTGGCTTTACTTTATCTCTGTTTTATAAGACTTCTGAAATTCTTTTGAAATGTAAGTGAAAAAGGAAAATAATTAAAATAGATAAATATATGAAGTGTTATTTTTTCCTAGTGCTTAATTTGGCTCCTAGTGCTATTAACTGTTGAATATTTATTTTTATAATTTTAATAGGCAAGAAATACATCTGGAATTTTTGATAAAGAAAAACATCGGAACCAACTTTTGGAACTGAAATACTATTGTGAGGTATCAAAGTTTTGTATCTTAAATGTAGTTTTCCAAGATATTGAGCTAAAATTTTCTTTACCTTATTTAATGTCATTGTGCTATTAATAGATATTTTTCTGTGTCAAGTCATACATGATTTTCACTCTATTGTGATATATTAAAAACATTTCTAGTTAGAATAGTATCCCTAAGTGATAAAATAAAAATATGATATAAAAAAACAGCTTTTATAGCTAAAAAGATAAACCCAGTCATACCTGGTCAAATGTTAATTAAGTCTCTTTCATCTAGATTGTTTAATATTTAATTTTTCCAACATACTCTTTTTAAGGAAATGGGCTGATTTGTATGAAGTTTAGTATGTACCTAAATGCATACAAAGATACCTCAGTTGAAACAAAATGGCAGCCGACCACTGTTTTTAAAAGAGTGTATCTTACATAGCTTTGAGGGGATTTTGTAAAAATTAGCATGTTGGTAGAGCTTGATAGAAGCATGTAATTATCAAGGATTTTGTGAGCTGCATACCCTAGAGGTAATGAACATTTATTTAAAAAGTCAATGTTTCTTAATGTACCAAGTGTCCTGAATAAAATGAGCGAGCATCCTTTGAAAAGTACAGAATATTTATATGAGCCTTGATCATCATCATTACTGAGGACAGAAGTGGAATGCTTAAAGGGGACACATCAGGTCTCCTGAGGAAGATGTACAGAGGGTGGGCCATAGGGGGAGGTCGAGGGTCCCGATACTGAGCAGGGCTATCTCTGGCCTGCCTTACATAGGCATCCATGACCACCTCGGTGCACACTGTTCTGCGAGAGCCTTCTGAGCACTTGTGCAGGGTGTGGTGGGATGTAGCATCTCGGATGAGAAATGCTCAGGCCCCGGGAGGGATCCAGTCTATTTCTCCTAGTGTGTTAGCTCTCTCCTTTCTTCAACGTCTTCCCTTACCAGTCCAGACCAGACCGCATGGTGCAGCACTTCCGTCTTGTCTTTTTTATCCTTGCCCAGCATCCTCTTTGGTAAAACCCCAGCCCTGTCCCTGCTGGGAAGCAGAGGGGAGGACCTCTGCTGGGACCTGTCCACCGTCTGGTCTGTAGGCAGCTCCCTGTCCCGCGAGCACCAGGCACCCCCATCCTTGCCTCTTGTTTAATGGAGGAAATGGAGGGCGTGGAGCAGAAATCCTCTGCGAGTCCAGATTCCCTCTCCCCGCGGCCAACAGACGTGCCTGGGATCCATTCTTCTCCCGGCGTCTTGCTCTGTAAGGCTAACACCTCGGCCGGTTTCTGCTTCTGACCCTCTTTCCCTGTGCTCAGACTCCTCCCTTCATGGGTCATCCCTCTCTCTCCTGTATCTTCAGCCTCTGTGCCTGCCACTCTCGGCATATTCTCCCGTGGTTTTTAAAAAATCACGTTTAGCCTCCTGGCCCTCTTCCACTGTCATCCTTCCTCTCTCCTTCCCTTAATAACCCAGCTCTTTGAATGTGAGTTATGTTCACTATCTAAACACCTGACTTCCTGTTTGGAGTATGTTCGAATACACTGTTCTTTCTGCCCTGTATGCCCTTCCATGCGTCTTTACCTAGCGACCACCTTGTCTTTTAATTCTCAGCATAGACATTTGCTTCTCTGGAAAGACCTGCCAGCCTGCGTTAGATCTTTGTGTACACTTAGCCTCCTGTTCAGCCTCCTGTTCTTGCCTGTGCTGTGATAGTCATAATAGTGATATTAATATTAATAGACAGTTGAGCCCTATTGGACCAATCATCGTGTCGTATTGCTATTCTGTTAGTATGAACAGAATACCGCAGCCACCTTGCTCTGTCCCCCAGAGAACTCTGAGATTTTCATCATGATCCTCTACATGAGGACATTGAAGCACAGAGAAGTTAAGTAACTTGACCAAAGTCACAGAGCTACTAAGTGGCAGAACTCTACTACGTAAATCCTAGCTCTTTCCCCTAGAGCCCGCACTATTTATCTCAGTGCTATAGGCCAATCACTGGGTCTCACACTTGACGGGGCATCAGGATCACCTGGAGGGCTTGTGACAACACAGATTGCAGCCCCCACTCTTGAGTTCCCAATTCATTAGGTCTGGGGTGGGAGATGTTGCACTTCCAGCAAGCTAGTATTGATGCTACTGGTCCACAAGTGCACAGTTTGAGAACCACTGCTCCAGGCTGCTGGTTACTTTCTCTGTTGAAATCGTCTCTTGTCTCTCTCTCCAGCTAAAATAGGAGTTCCTTAGGACAGGAGCTGGTTGGGGTTTGTTTTTGGTTCCTTTCCGTCCATGTTTCCAGCATCTAGCAAAGTAGTTCTGACTGGTGGTAGGCCCTCAATAAATGTTTATTGGAATGAGAGAATGAGGAATGGTTTTGGCCTGTTATTTAAGTGTCTTTTTTGCCGGAATGAAACGCCTCTGTATTTCAAGAATTTGGTCACATACCTGATTGGCATATAGGGGATGTGTACTCAAAGATTTATGGCTTTCATTGTTGATTTTATGATTTTTAAATGCTTCAAAGCCAGAAGTTACATCTGATCTATCTGGCTCACTGTTCTTCCCAGAGTGGAATGTTCACTGCCTGTTAGTTCATGTTGTCATCGTATGGAAGGAGATTCTTTGACTTTTCAGCAGATCTGAACATTTATTTCTTAAAATAGTACCTTCCTGGATGTAAAATGACTCCGTCAGAAATGTGATGGGTTATCGGAATTGTGGTACATTGACTTTCCAGAATGTACTCAAATGCTCCTCAAAATGCCTGTATGACATGGAGTAGTTCCATTGGAGGTTGGGGCTCCTTTTGTCAGCCAGCTGGGCTCTATGTCACCAACAACCAGGCATCAAATGGGAAGCTAGACATTTCTGATGGCATGAGGACTTTCTTTGTTCCTAGCAGTCAAAATTGGCTTAATGGTATTTTCTTATGTTACTTTTGTTTTGAAATAGGAACTACTAAAATATTTTTTATTTTAATAGGGTTTGCAAAACCTTATTGAAAACACAAATAAGCAGGTTGCTCAGCTTTGTCGAATCATTTCAAAAATGCAACATACTGAGGAGGAACAGTCTTTGCTAAACAAGGTGAGTATTATAAAATCATTTTTACTACTTTGATAAACCTCTATTTCCTGAAGATGCCAATCAGTTGGAAGTGAAAGAGAACTATTAACTGTGAGATTACCAAATCTGATCTATACTTACTTTAGCAGCAGATGGGAGATTAAACCTCTGTTGAAAGAATGGTGAAGTTTAGTCTTGAGAAGTTATGATACTGAATATTTTTGTTTGTAACCATAATGTATAAAACACAAATAAAATGTAGGGTTACATGGGAATGAAAACCAACCATATTATAAAAATTCATCATTCAAGGAAAATAAGTATTAATGCTTTTACTTATGAAAAATGACAAGTTTTTCATTGTCATTTTTATTCACATCTGGATTTACACCAAAAAAGTTTTGATTGTATACCTCATGGAGAAAGTAAAGTCCAGGAACCAAAGAAAAGAGCTTAACCCATTCTGTTCTCTTACCCTAGACAGGGATATTGTAGCCCATCTTTACCAGTGGAAGGGTAGGAAAACAGTGCCAGGGCTAACCGTGTAGGAACATCCCTTCAGTCAGCAGCACTCCCTGAATTGTAGCAGCTGGTCCTCAGGGAACATCCCCCATTTCTCAGAATTGTCTCTACACGTTCATTACAGCTGCATTACATACCAGACAGCCCATTTTCTGGTCTTGCTATTTTAGCTTGCTTTTGTAGCAAAGGTGCTGAAACTACCAACAGTGTTATCTTTTGTGCCCAGGCAATACCTACAGCAGAAGAACCCAGTGTAGCCAACACCCCTGAGATGATGGGAGATCTTAGCATGGGCCCAGATGCTGCCGCATCATTTGTCCGCATCCTTCCCAATTTGGGTGAGTTTGAAATGGCACATATTACAAATAGCATCCTTCAATCTAGGTTAAAAAGCATCCTTAATGTAGGGTAGCGCGATAAATGTTTTTTTTCATTTACAAGTTTTATATTGAAATAATTGTAGATTCATGGGTAGTTGTAAGAAATAATGCAGAGTAATTCCGTTTACTCAACTTACTGCAATGGTAACATCTTGCAAAACTACACTAAAATATTACAGTCAGGATATTAATATTGATGCACGGATCTTACTCAGTTTGACTTGTATTTATTTGTATGTCTCTGCATTTAGTTTTATGCAATTTTATCACGTGAGGTTTGTATGTCCACCACCATAGTGAAGGCACAGAACATTTCACCACCACAAGTGTTCAGGATCACATATGTTACCCTTTTATGACCACACCCATCCTCCTCTGGTGGCCCTGGTCTTCTCATTCTCTAATCCTAACTCTGGGCAACCACTGATCTATTCTCCATCTCTAGAAATTGGTTCCTTCAAAATTGTTATACAAGAGTGGATAAAAGTAGGTTTGCAGTTGTGAGTATGCTAAACACAAAGTTTATTATTGAATTATTTATTATTTTCTATATGAATAACTAAACTTACTTGTGCCTACCTATGTATAGTTGGATGCATACAATATGTAACATTTTAATACTGGCTTTTTATTTCACTCAAGTCCTTGGAGATTAAACCAAGTTGTTGTATGTATCACTAGTTCTTTCCTTTTTTGTTACTGAGTGGTATTCCATGGTATAGCTCTGCCATCGTTTAACTGTTCATTCATTGAAGAAAATTTTGGTTAGTTTTTTTTGGTTTTTGACTATTAAGAGTAAAGCTGCTATGAATATTAATGAACAAGGTTTTGTGAAAACAGAATTTTTCATTTCTCTGGCACAAATACCCAAGAGTGCAATATCTGGTTATATGTTTTTGTTTTGTTTTGTTTTCATTTTATTTATTTATTTATTTATTTATTTATTTTTAAATAATGTTTATTCTATTACAGTTGTCTTAATTTCCCCCCCTTTGCCCTCCTCCATCCATCTCACTCCCCCACTCCCACAGTCAGTTCCCACTCTGTTGTCCATGTCCATGGGCCATTCATACATGTTCTTTATTTAGTCCCTTCCCCTTCTTTCCACCATTGCCCTCCTTCCCCATCCCCTTGGGTCACTTTCAGTCTGCTCCATGTTTCCATGCCTGTAGTTTCTTTTGTTTGTTAGTTTATTTTGTTGAATAGGTTCTACTTATAGGTGAGATCTTATGGTATTTGTCTTTCACTGACTGGCTTATTTTACTTAGCATCATATTCGCCAGTTCCATCCAGGTTGTCGCAAAAAGTAGGAGATCCTTCTTTCTTTCTTTTTATTTTTAAATGCAGATTGATTTTATTTACTTACTTTTAAATGTCAAAATCCATTATAAAATATTAAAAAATTTAAATCCATTATAAAGTCTCAGCGATTAAAACAATATGACACCAGCACAGAAATAATCTGGTACATCAATGAAATAAAGTGAGCATTCTAGAAACAAATGTATATATCTGTCTAACAATGTAATATATAATTCAATCGATATTTCAAATCAATGGGGAAAATAAGGCTTATTCAACAAATAAGGTGCATGGACCACTATTATTTGAAATAAAACAAATATAGAACCCTATTTCACACATTATGCAAAACATATTCAGGTGAGTTAAAAATCAATATATAAAATCTAAGGAGTTTTAGGAGAAAGTACAAAATAATATTTTTCTTACCCTGAAGTAAAATATTCAGACCTCAAATCTATAAAGTAAAATATTGACAATATGACTATATTAAACATTTAAGACTATATAGTAATATACATATAAAAAAGTTAAAGGACAAGTAATAGAATAAGAAAGTATTTGCCACACATCTAAAAAAGGGTTGGTAATTCTTTGGGGTATTTTTTAGGGAAAGATTTCTACAAACATTTAATAAAAAAATGGATAAAGAATACTAAAAAGTCATCTAAAACTTTTAAAAAATAATAGAAATAGGCAAGAAATATAGAAAAACAGGTTTAGTTTCAACAAATAATAAAGTGACAATTAAAATAACACATTATATAGCAAAGACTCATGGACAAAACCAAAGGGGAAGAGCTGAGGGAGGGGGCAAGGGAAAGTGGTGGGGGGTAGGCAAAGACAAATGTATTTGAAAAAAAATAAATAAAGGTTACAAATTACAAAAAAAATAAAATAACACATCATTGTTACAATCAGATTAATGAGTATTAAAGATATTGGTAAAATCAAGTATTGGTGACTGTGAAAGGAACTGGGTATTGATAGACTCTTTCTTCATCTTCTTAGAGCAATCCCTTTAGCATATCTTGCAGTACTGGTTTGGTGGAGGTATATTCTTTTAGCCTTCTTTTGTCTGGGAAACTCTTATTTCACCTTCCATTTTAATTGAGAGCCTTGCTGGGGAGAGCAGTCTTAGTTGCAGGCCTTTGCTTTTTATGACTTAGAAGATCTCTTGCCCTCCCCTTCTGACTTGCAGTGTTTCTGCTGAGAAGTGAGCTGCTTGCTGTATCAGGGCTCCCTTATATGTTACTACCTCTTTCTCCCTTTAGGATTCTCTGTTTGTCTTCGATATTTGCCATTTTAACGATGATGTGCCTTGGAGTGGGCCTCATTGGGTTCCTCTTGAATGGGACCCTTTGTGCTTCTTGGACTTGTGTGACTTTTTCTCTCCTCCAATTAGGGAAGTTTTCCATCATTACTTTTTCAAACAGGTTCTCTATCCCTTCCTCCTCCTCTTCTCCTTCTGGTATTCCTATTATACGGATATTATTATGTTTCAGGTTGTCCTGCATTTCCCTCAATGCCTCTTCATTCTTTTTGAGTCTTTTTTCATTTTCTTGCTCTTTCTGGGAGCTTTTTTCCTACCTTATCCTCCAGCTTGTTGATTTTATCCTCTGCTTCATCTAGCCTGTTTTGGATTCCTTCTACTGTGTTCTTCAATTCAGAAATGGTATTCTTCATTTCCTCTTGTCTCTTATCGATAGTTTCTATGTCCATTTTCATGCTGATATGGTTTGCAGTAAATTCCTCGTAGTTTCCCTGTAGTTTTTCATAATTCTCTCTGAGCTCACTGAGCTCATTGAGCTTCCTTAGAACCGTTGTTTGGAACTCAATATCTGGTAGTTTACGTGCCTCTCTTTCATTTAGTTCTCTTTCTGGGGATTCCTCCTTTCCCTTCAATTGGGAGGTGTTTCTTTGTCTTCCCATTATTTGCGAGACTCTTCTTTTTCGCTTCTGCTTCTTAAATTGACCTGTCTTGATTTCCTGACTTTGTGGCGTGATCTTCTATGGTAGAAGGCTGTTGTTTTTTCTTTCTGGATCTTCCTCTGATGATGTCAAATGTTGACTCCGTCTGACCTCAGGCAGTCTGTTCAAGACTTCCCGGAATCTACTGTCTGTGGCTGTCTCCTTCAGCTATTAATCTAGTCACTCTGCACTCTGCAGGTGGCTTAAACAGCACAAGGTGGAGCAGAGTCCCTCCTATGGGTGGGGTAATTGGGTCCTCTCATGCTGTTACTGCTCAGGGGAGTGGTCTCTGCCTGCACAAGATGGCTGCTGCCATCTGGGGGATGAGTCAGCACCAGGATCCTGGCGTCTACTCTCTCAATTCTCTCCCAAAGCCTCCTTCCCCAGTCTCTCCTCAGGCATCTCCAGAGACCAGGGTAAATGGCTTTGCCAGAGACCAGGGTAAATGGCTGCAAATAAAAATTTGTGTTGAACCTTTAAATGGCTCTTTGCATCTCCAGCTGCCTGTCTCTGGCAGAGAGCAAGCCTGTCGCTTTTCGCAGCTGGCTGTTGTCTGTGTACTTTTTGGACTCTGGTGGTGTAGGCTGGAGATCTCTGCTTATGGTTTAGGCCCTGCACATCTCAAGGGGATCCAACTGGCCATTTCAGTATCCTTCTGGTGCTGCCACTCATGGGCGCCCCACTCGCCTTCTTGAGTCTCTACCACACTTCTTAGCAGTTAGGTTGTGCTAAAGATGATTCTTCTGTCTGTCCGAGGTTATAAGGCTCCTCTCACACTATTGTTCAGTTGTCTGTTCCAGGTGATTTCCTCACAATTTAGTTGTAACTCCAGATTGGTCCTGGGAGGAGGTCAGTGTGATTTCCACTCACTCCTCCGCCATCTTGTATCTCCCTGGTTATATGTTAATTGCATTTTTAGTTTTATGAGAAACTACCTCTTTTCCAGTGTGCCTGTACCATTTTACTTTCCTGCCAGCTGTGTATGAGTGATCCAGTTTCTCCATATCCATTTTTCTGCTCTTTCCATTGTTCTTTCTTCCTTCTGATGCTTCATGATTCCTTCTTTCATCATATTCTTATTGATAGAAGCTTTCCTTTTACCTTTCTTTAAGAGTAAGTCTGCTGAGGACAAAATCTTTCAGTTTCCCTTTGTGTGAGAATGTCTTTATTACTTCTTCTTTACTGAAGGATAGTTTCACCCAGTATAAAATTTGTGGATGAGAATTCTTGTACTACAGCCTATTAAACTTTTTTCTTTATATAAATGCCAGGAAAAGCAGAAACCAGCCTTGAAAACTGCACTGAGTCAATGTGTTTCATAACTATTGGGAAATGACAGTGGCCAAGATACTGTCTCTTCATCCTTCCCAATTTTGTTAAGTGTGAAATGATACACATTACAAGTGACACTGTTTAATGTAGATTTAGCAACATCCTTAATGCAAATCATTGGTAGCTCTTCTTTTTATTAAGTTTTTTTATTTTGAGGTCATTTTATATTCATATGTAGTTGTAAGAAATTATACAGAGATCCTACTTATGCTTTACCCATTTTCCCCAATGATGACATCTTGCAAAACTATAGTAAAATATCACAACCAGAAGGCTGACATGGATTACATACACACGTGTGTGTGTATGTATGTACTTAGTTCTATGCAGTTGTATTCCGTTTGTCAGTGTAC